ATAGAGTAAAGATCCTAAAAGTCTCAATTGCAGTCAGTTGTGGAGCCATGGTGGATCGTATGTGCTGGAAGTATTCTAGAAGCAGATATTAAGGTTGGATTTTCCCAATAATCTTCTTCGATGTTTTGTACTACCATTTCGTGGTCGTTAAGCTGACGTTCTAGGTATTAACGGAGGATGAGCGTCGTGTCGTAGATACTATTTTGGACGAAGGCCCGCAGCAAGCAGGCTTCTTGCCCGTGCCTGTGGTCCAGTCGCTGCTCAACAGAGGACTGGTATATGTTGATGTTCCAGTCGAAGAATTTGACTACGTTTATGGTGAGAGTATGTTTCACTACCAACTTGAACATTCCTTAGGCCTATTTGATTTTCCCGTAAAGGCTGAGTTTTTGTCCAAAATTATGAACATAGTTCTAAGCTGGAGTTTCCTTTTTGCTTCCGAACTGTAACCTTTGTGCCTTCGTAGTAGCAGACTTCGTTTTGACCGAAATGTGTATAAATCAAGCGCGCAGGCACAAAGAGGCAAATGCAAAGTGTACAGGTCATCCTGCTCAAAATCGTGACATCCGTTAACGATCAACCAAGCTTTTTTTCAGTCCGTTTTCTACTTATTTTCCCTCGTACTCAACCTACTCACCTCGTAAATGACCCGGTTTTCTGGCACTTTTCTCCTCATGGCTTTCCCTCATGAAGTGACGATACGAAAACATGTGTTTTAGTTGCACCTCTGGATGGCTTTGTTATGAATCGAGTTTTGGGAGACTATTTCGAAACGCTTTTGTACAAAATATTCGTAGCAATCGATGATCAGACAACCGTAAAAGAAGTAAGTTTTGAGAACTGTGTCATCATTTTGTCCGTTACTTGTTTTGGTTTTCATTTTTCTCTCTTTCATAGTTTTCTTTTATGGTTTCTTTGAATTCAGTGATTGAAGCTTGAAAGTGAAAAGTCGAGAATGAGGGGCATGAGAACAACTGGCAAAAGATAATGTTTCTCTCATGAATTTTTTATTGTTTCCAATTTGTCCTACTACTACTCTTTTACCTTAATCTTCATTAGCATCTCTAAGTAGCTTCGCGCAAGTGAAGTGCCATTCTATGACATTCAAAAATCATCAGGGACGTAATTTTGTTCTATTTCAGATGGCTGATATGCTTCATATTGATTTCTCTCTTGTGGCTAATGCAATATCCGTTTTCTGTCGACTCGGATTTGCGAAGAAGAGAGTAACAGGAATGGAGACAGCTCGCCTACACTACAGCTGGGCACAACTTGTTTCGATACCGAATTCGCCCACACAGTAAGTTTTTCGTTAAGGAAACTTTCAGTCTCACGCATGGTAACTCTGGCCTCATTAATGGCCTAGCCGAGCCAAGCTCTGGGCCTATTCAATGATTTTGAGGAAAAAAGTGCATATGAAAGGCATAGTTTGACAAGAACATATATGTAAATAAGCAAGATCTGTGAACTGACTAGACTTCTAATCAATCATCTAGTTTGTTCTGCTCTGATCTTTTTATAGAGATGACCTGGTGACGTCGGTTTCCGGTGATCTGGGAGAGCTATCAGCTTCACTGGCTTCACCTCTAGGAGATGATGATGACGAAGAGCAAGCGGCGAACCTCAGCAACTACAGCTTGAAGGATTCGGTCAGTTAGTGTTATGTTAAAGTTGATATCTCGTAGGGTTGTTCTGTTTCTGGCCAAATTCAAAGCAGATAGGTACACAGGACAGCTAGAATACCATGGTTGTCTTCATTTGGGAGAATGAATGGTTTTAAGGTCTCCTCACAGCCTTCTTCGGAAGTGCCATCATCCTCCGGTCGAACAGCGTTCCTCTTTGATTCAACCTTAGCAGCGTTTCTGATGATGGGAAATTTGTCGAGTTCATTGAAGGTGAGTTCTTCCTAAATTGCAGTTTTGTGTTCTGGATAAAGCAGGTTGCGGCAGAAAACATAGCGTCTGGGATAGCTGATCTGTGAACGAAAAGAGTTTCGGTAAATTTTCACTTGCCAAATAGGGTGTAAGTTTCTAGGTCAACAGTTTGTGCTCTGTTTGGGCTTAATGCGGAATTTAGGGTCATGCGGTGACTCTGTTCGAGGTGGGAAAGTTGGCTGATGAACAGATGCGTGACTTCCTGGAACATCTAGAATGTGTGAGCGAAGTTAAATTTGTTTGTCTTAATGATCCTTTTTTGTCGCTTCTGCTCTTTTAAGGATAGGTACCTGAAATTGGTAGTTCGCGTTATTATTGTATTCTGTTGGTAGTCCGGTATTGGAGTTTATTTATTGTTTATTCAGGTGAATCGTTTTGCTGAAGGAGAAGCACAGAGATATTCCGAGCATGCGATGGCTTTGCTAGATATTTTGCGGAATCTTCGAAAAGGAAGAGAAGTGGATATGTTGAGAGGAGAGAGCTTGCTGAGCCTCGATCCACAAAGCCGTGTTCGAGTGTTAGCCAAATCTTACGGGTTCGTCGCACATGGAAATCCTATTTTATACATCGAAATCTTAACTACGGCCGTTCTACCTTGCGAGGGAGCATCATATATTCGGGAATTTTGATGGGGTAGGAGAAAATAGTCGTCATCACCTTAGTAGCCGAAGCATCACCGCTCCCCCCTCCTAATTGAATTTGCCATACTTTCCACACAACGCTACGCTTCGCCTCATTTTCCAACTTCTAAATCATTTTCGTTGTGGAAAAATGTAGTTTTTCTTATTATAACCTCGAATTTCTTCAAATCTTCTCTAGAAGGTCTCCTAGACGTGCTGTTTTAGCATCGTAGTTTCCATGGCGCCGTTGTCCTGCGATGCATGTACCGTACCTGCTGTCTCTTTGCCAAGTTTATTGACCACGCCATATCCAAGTTAGCGTATATGCGGGTAGTATTTTCGCTCTTATTCTTTTTGTTCGTAGTGTTTGTGAATTATTCCTCCCCTGCCATGTTCCTAACGGCTTGTCGCCTTGGCGTAAGACTTAGCTATTTTAACCAAGTGCGACTGGTAGTGGTCTCAGCTCTCGCTAGTCACCAACATAGGTTACGCCGGTCTGTCTAGCGCAACTTGCCGCTCAACACCATATCTCCGCCATGTCACGTCCTCCTTAATCACTTCTTCGGCGAATCACTACGATACCTGTCAGCATTATGTCTACCGTATTATATCTCTTACTAGTTCGCACTTCATGAAGTACCTTGCTTACGACGGCGCATTGTTCGTTCAGGTTGTAGGCGTGTCGAATGATTTCTTTTTTTGCACTTGGATTTACCTCATTATCCACACTCATACGATCCGAACTGAGCCAGGGTTTTTCTTGCTGCTCGCGACAATATTTTTCCATCGCTGGTGGACTCCTAGAAACTTGCCTTTCAGTGTAACTTCAACCTGGATGTGGCAATGACACAATCGAACGCAGGAAATATCACGCATGAGTTTCGGAAATTCGCCGGTAGAAGCCGCCTGCGCCGCGCCAGATAGCGGCCCGGGCCCAAAAGGCGCCCTGGTATCGCATCTCCGATATTCCAAATCTTTCGCTTGGAAACTTGCCCTTCACGATGTAAGTTTGACAATCCGTAGAGCATTGAATATTCATATCAGTATTCGTTGCGCAGTGAGCTATAGCTATGGCGCTAGCTGGGCGCCCGCGCAAAACGTTTTGGTGATAGCGTAGCCGGCGCTTGTCCGCGCCCCCGTTGCGCCAAGAGCGTGTGCCGCTGCAAACGCCGGCGTGAACTATTCTTTCTGGCGGGTTTCGAAGCATACCCATCGCTGGAAATATATTTTTTGTGGCAAAATCTTCAGTCATTGGGCGAATTTTTCGAATATCTACAATCTCTTGGCTATTCTTGAGATGATGGGGCAGTTAAGTTAAATTAAACGTGCCTGCCCTTTTTGTTTTTTTTTTTTTCTTTGCTTCCAAGCTCGGTGGTGATGTCGTCGCGGTTATGTTGATAGAGCTGTCCCTCTTTTTGATTGGCGATATCCAATAAAGCAAGCACTTGTAGTGGCATGCTTGTTAGGAGTGCTTGAAGTGGGCTAACAATCTGATCTCTCTATCACCTTGAGGAAAAATAACGGCTTATTGCACTCCGTCCATCAATTTTTGTATCTACTGCATAGCATGATTTCTCGCGATCCTTCGCGGTTAGATTAGGTGAAGAAATCAACCCAAAAGTTCATGGTGATTAGCTGCTTTCAGAAAGAAGTTTTTCCACTGTTTCTATTACAGAAATCCGAATCTAGTGAATTGATCAGCGTAGATTGCTGAGTTTAACAAGCTTGACCTGCACTTACATCTTCGAATTCAGAGAACTGAATGAGATTGTAATCGAGCCATGACTCAGATGATCCTAGGTTCTTTAGGAATACCCTCATTATTCTGAAGAAGATGAACTAGTTTACGTTCCTTTCCCATTCGATGGAAACGGAAGTGAAAACGATGGTAGGTATAAATTGTTGATGTGTTCAATTTTGAATTGCGTACTTCTTGTGATAATTCGAACTTATTTCAACAGGAGCATTTTCCAAGCATCCAGCTGTACAGGCGCTTTCCTCTCGTATCGGATTGGATTGGTTGTGTGGTTATATTGTGCTGGTTAATCAACGGGTATCCCGAAAGGTGGCAAACAATTCGACGATGAGCAACTATGAGAATTCTGTACAGAAGGAATCGCCTATCGTTTTAAGGTATTTAGTACCAGTTGGCGTCACACGCTGTTGCACTCACACCACAGTTCTGCTTATATGGGACGGTGTGGCCAAAATTCTCAAATTTTACCCGATCCACAATGAATACCTGACTTGCCCTTCCAGGCTAGTTTTTATCCGCTTTCTTCTCGGTCTCCATTCTATCGCTGGACCATTTGGTGATTCTGGATTTTAGCTTCGCCCGCTGCGGTGCATTCACACCAACCGATAGATATTTGACCTTTTCCTTCTTTATCAACCGCTACCACTTTTCCCGGTTTTGCAGTCTAAGTTTCATGAAATCGATTTATGATTTTGTTTTTGTATTTGTAGTTGTTGTTTGTATGAATCCGCCCAATGGTGCGTGCTTCATTCACCAATAGCAGTTGACCTGTTTCCTCGCCGACCTCTATCGACTTTTTTCTGGTCTTCTGGACTGCTCTGAACCATTTATAAGTTTGGTGGCTAGCTCCACTCAATTCGGTGCCTGCCACGCCCACTATTAACATTTAACCTCCAATCCTTCTCTGACTTCTATTCACTTTTTTCCTGCTCTATGAGCATGAGACTTCTCAGGAGCGAATTATGAGTAATTGTAGGGAACGCCGTCCACTTGAAGGTGGAGTTCACTATCATAGAGCAGCCCATGAGAATTGAGATGGAGGTTGTGTGAAGAAAACAGCATGAGAAACATCGAAAAACGCGAGAAATGGAATCTTTCTTCTCTGTTATTTCCGCACTGATGCGACTCTCATCGGTGCTGCCCTCTTCAACGCTAACGCTCTCTGCTAAACGGCTAGAGACCTGCGGCGAGTGGTTAGCCAGTCGGTGGGCGTACTGCGCCGATAGCGCCGCGAGGAGGGCCATGCTAGGTCGTCGGGCTCTTTCTGGGAAATGGCGCATCGTCTCGCAAACTTGGGAAGTTCGCCTGCTTTTCTACTAGGTAAATTTCTCCGTCTTCGACCTTCAACCTTATCGTGGAGTCCTCCTTCAAGGACACATTTGGCCCATTGAAGGTGGGACTCCGCTCACGTCATGCCTGCTGGGAATACCGTAGACAATGTTTTCTTCCAGCAATTCTTTTTCTGTTTTGTGGGCTTTTTTCTAACCGAGTTATGAATTTTTCAGTAAGCTCCGCCTTCTTAGGTACACCTTACGCTCACGCAGTGTGGCCTCTCCTAAGTTCAACTGGCTTACTAATGACACACCCAGACTAGTTTTTCGCGACGGTCTAGATCTGTTGGGAGCAAATTGATAAATTTGGCGTTGTGAACACCGTCACCTTCAATGTCGCACCACGCCCACTGGAGCGTGAGGCTACGTTAGGTATGTATCTTTGTATTCTGGAAGTGACATGGCCTTCCATCCGTACCCTTGATCTGTCTACTCCTGCTTGGACTCTTCTAGGAAGTATGTGGATTTCTTGGCAGACACAGTGTACAGAAGTTTGACCCAGAGAATGACAACGAAGCGCTTCATGGTAAGTAGCATGGGAAAATACCCCAGGGTTTTTCATTCATTCTTTGTCATAGGAATGTTCAATATACAAAAGAGTGGTTTCTTCCATTCAATTGAATACTTATTGCATTTTAGTTCACTACCGAATGGTTTTACATATGATGATTATGTGCTCCTCGATTGTGTGTTCGGTATTCCGCTCTTCAACTCACCACTGAATAAAGCCATTTGCAGTCGAATGATTAGCAAAGGAATACTGGAGTTGAATAAGTAAGTTATCTTTTAACATTCAATCTTTTGTTAAAGTCGGTTAGAAAGAAAGCGCGTTCGTCGTGCGCTAATGACTTAGCACTCCGATCCAATGAGCCAGCAGTCGAAGGCTTGGTGTTTCGATTGTCGACCTTGCGTAGTAGTTTCAGTGCGGATCAGCGTAATGGCGAAACTGTATCTACTGTAGGGGTTTCGCCTAAGTAAAATAATTAGGTCGTTGTCCCATAATTAGTGAATCACTTTACATTTATCGTTATTAAAAATCCAAGAAAATTGGTGAAGGCGTGAAACATGTTTTGCGAAGTAGCATCCACATTGTCCTACTTGAGCAATTACTCAGCCCATTTCCATGCTGCCTTCCGTGGCTGACATTTCAATTTTTCTGGAACCTATTTTTGAGCTCCCTTCTTAATCACTTCTGATTAAGATCTTTCAAACGCCCAACAATATAGAGAATCGACCAGCAGATAGGGCAAGGGCACGCTCCCTCACTCCACGGTCTGCTTATAGTTCACTCTATCGAGAGGTTGGCTTTTTTAGTTGAAGATGACCCACACTCCAACTACCCCTCAACTGGCAATCTCAGTGCTATACCCAGCGCCACTAAGCGTGAATATGGACGAACTAGCCGCCTTTTGCTAGAGCATGCCCGACTTGTTAAAATAATGGAATGTAGACATCTACGTAGAGTTGTAACGATTTTAAAATATTTAATTTGTATCTCGTGTGCTTTGAGCTCGAAACAGCTCCGCACACGATCTGACATCGTCATGTTCCTTCTGATCTCCCTTAGTTCCTTACAGTGATCATCCAGCTTATTCACCAGGGTTCTGGACTGCGTGAAGTGTACTAGCAAATCTCCGAGGAGCAGTAGCCCAGCGTGAACGATTCGGGAGTTCTGATAGCAAAAGCCAAACCTCATTCTAGTCCGACCCTTCAGAGATATTGGTGGAGCACGAGAGTGACCATGCGCTGGGAACCGCCGCCTAGTAATACTAGAGTCACTGAAGAAGATCAACATCTACAGCGTAATGGCGGCGCATTCAATTTGAAAGTAAAGCAAGACAAAGTCTGCTTTTTTCCTGAGGTCGTTCGACCCACCTTGCGGAGAATATTCATAAAAAATTAGAGACTCTCAAGCTAGCCGATCTTCCACTTCCTCTGTGTGGCCCTATCCTCGTGCCAACAAGAGGCAACTCAGTCTGACCTCTAGCGCTCTTCCCCAGGAAGGAATTTTACGCTAAGTGACATGACCTCAAACTCGACTTCCGATCTTTCTTCGATCAATAGCTCCTGGAATTCTAGAGATAAGACAGCGACAAAATTTCCTGTATAGGCAATACATTGTAGATGACAGGGATGTATGTTTGGATGAGCAAAGACTCCATATGAAAAAGAAAAAAATTCGAATTCAAAAATACCCAAAGTGATTCACTAATTATGGGACAACCTAATATTATGTACTATTGTACGTCCTATATCGCACATCACGCGCTGCTACTCCTACTCGTCCCTGCTCTGTCTTCGTGCCGCGCGACGGGCCTCCTGCCACAAACCCGAAAGTTTGCGTCTGCGTCTCTTTCGTAAATGCTGCTTCGAGATCTTAGATATCCACCACCGCTGCCTAACCCTTGACCGTAATATTCGGGCAGCTCATCGATTCCATATTTTGAGATGAATGGATCTGATATTAAAAGTGGTCATTAAGTACGTCCCTAAACTTTTTCTCCGCGTCAAAGGGCTAGTAAATGAGTAATGGGTAGGGCGAGACTAGATTCGAAGGAAGCCTGGGGATAAACAGTTTGTTCCTCATTATGTGATAGGAGGCGGCAAGGCAATCCAGGCTCACGTGGAGAACTACGTATGGCTGGTCTTTCTTCAGAGGCCTGAACTCACCCTGTGCGATCGCTAGTTCCTAATCCACCTCCAGCGCTTTCAGCTCGGAAAATCAAAAGGAAACGCAACTTGGTGAAGGGTGCACAGGTGGGAGGGCGACCCCTGCTTTTATCGATACGTGATTTTCTATATTGATCGGCTTGCTATGCGGCAAGTGCAACTGTAGCAAATGAAAAAATTTCTCAGTCCTCATTATAGTGCGGCCCGTTTCTTCGATCTAGGGTAAAGAAAGGGCCATAATCAGCCGAGCGAAGCTCATGCGCAAAGCAGTTTATTATCATGCACAGACGCTAACCTTTTATATTTTTACTTTTTTCAGTCGAAGCAATATCCAGTTTGCTAATAGAGCGGTTATCGATATGATTACCGAGCTTCTGAACACATTCAATTATGGGCATGTCAAGGTAAGATAGGGAACCCACCTAAGTTTGGTTTGCTCACTGAATCATCCATTTTAGAGCTGTTTCCCCAGTACGGAGCCTCGGAAGTCTGAAGTCGTTCCGCCGATCACATCAATATATTACGATCCCGTGAAAAATGAGGTTTACACTTGACTTAGTGTACAGTGCTGCATGACCTGAGTGATTCGTTTTTTTCACTTTTGTCATATTTCAAATACTTTGTACTGCTTGTTTTGCGTATTTTTGCCCGGTGAATGCAGTAGTGTCGCCAGGACCACCCTAATTGCCAGTGGTTTGTTCGTTTGCGCGATTGCAAAGGATTGTTTGGGCCAGTTCCTTTAGGTTGTTCTTTGCCCCATCCATTTCGCTGTTACCATGAGCTTCATCGCAATCTATTACTTCAACTGTTTTATATAAAGCGTTAGACTGCGCTGAAACGAGAAATTTCCCTTAAGATTTGCGTAGAAATTCATCTTTATTGCAGCTAATGGTAATGACTAACTAAGACATAAGTGTGGGTGGTCAGGAGGCGTTTTCGGTAACATAACACCGGGAAAAACAAGGCGCCTGCTGGCTCAAACTTTCATACGGCACCACTGGATTCTGAATGGATTTTTTGTTTCATTTCTGACACCGTCAGTAGTTATTTGCAGCTTTTTATGCCCAAGTATTTTCATGATGTGGGCATGCCCACCATAGTCCAAGAAGTTAAATAGTCCTTTGCTGATTACAGCTTCTCGTGATGGTTGTCTCGAATGTCTTCTTAGGTTTCCTCAGCTCATTCCGTACATGTTATCAACTTCCGGTTTGATAGTCATTTACACTCTGTTTTTTTGTTATCGATCCTGTTATGATTGCATATTTTGGAACATACGCGGCATCTGATGGCGTCAAAAGCATCAAAAATCACGTAAGATCCATTTTTCTCAAGACCATCGCCGCGTGTGAAACTAAGTCCGCAATTACGACATGTTTGGCTGCAGAAAAGGGTATTTGTCTTCATTTGTATTTGGTACGCCTGTACTACTGCTTATTAATGGGAGAGTTTATGGTGAGCTTGAGAATTAAACTGCTATCATCTGATACCTTTTCCTCCTTCATTCCATTCTTATTCTCTTCACTGTCCAGGGATGGATTTTTCTTCGCTGCCCACTACAGGCACCTGTTAATATCACTTTTCTAGTCTCTACAGGGATTTTTTCGGGAAATATTGGTGATTGTTTTCTATCTCTTGTTGCATGTTCACAGTCGTTTGGGCGTCCTTAATTTATTCATTACACGTAACTTTTATCACTTGTTGTTTTCTTAATATCAACTGTGATGTGTCTAGGACACAATAAATATCTTCACATATTTTTCATTGTGCGCAAAAAATAAACCTTTTAATTACAAAGAGTAATAGAAAAACAAATTAGAATTGGGAGGGACCGTTTCAATAGTAGATTGTCAGGGTTTTGGGCAGAAACATTCATGGGAAACAAACAGGTCTCTTTAGAAATTCCTCAACGCTAGGATGCCACTGAAATCAACGATAGGTACCATCAGGATTGGGTACGGTCATGGCTAAGTCGGGATAGTCTCTTGTTTGTCCGAAAATGCCCTGAGAGCAGCGACAGCAGTGCAAGGATGGTTGTGCTAGGGACATCTCCTCGGCTGCGCATTGCATGTCGGTCTGCACCGTCAGGGGGTCCGCCGGCCTTTCACCTTGGTAGGCTTCCCTTCTTCGACCTCCGACCTTAACATGGGATGCCGTTCTAAGGGAGGGATTGCGATCAAGTGTGTGCAGTATGGATGTACATGCAAAACTGGAATCAGTGGTTAGGGGTAAAAGGAAGCGAGAGGCCTTTTCACGGCCTGAGGTGCAGTGTTTGCAGCGCACTGGGCTGTCCCACCGTTTCTGAGCTCCACCTTCGTTGTTGCCTTGGGCAAGGTGAGGGTTTCAACACAATGTGTAGGTATGGGATGTCATCTACAGCAATGTCCTATAGGAGCAGGGTCAACCGTTACGTTGGACCGATATTGGAGCGACGTTGGACCGATGTTGACCGCTCTCCGCGCCGGCATTCACTCTCGCCACCCGCGAGCCATCGCGTTGGACTTTGTCCAACGGACGGTT